CTCACCCTTATCTTCTTCGTCATTAATTTAATTTTACTATGGCACTGCTTAATTCCTTCAGGGCAATTTTACATTGAATTTAGCAAAGCGAATTGTCGTCGTGCATTTGTTACTCATACGCACTGTTGTCGCTGCAGACAGGTTTATTAAATCATTTTAATGATTTTGTGATTATTTTTGTAAAGTAAATATTTAGGTATTTGCCGTGATTATATAATAGAATGAGACAATTGAGTGGATGTTATTTGATTAAGTAACAAACACACACGCTGTATTTATCCAGGCCTTTGGCGGCTTTCAAGGTTTGTACATACGTATAATTTTTATACCCTGAACAGGTTATATATTAAGTTGGCCAGGAACGTTGTAAAGCCTAGAAGGAAATGTTGCATACTATATAAATTATATACATATATAAATTAACAGCATGATGAGCTGAGTCGATTCAACCATTTCCGCCTGTCTCACCGTCTGTGTATTCGCAACCTGATCGCTCAGTTTTTGAGTTATCGATCTGAAATTTTTCAAACGTTCTTCTCTACCCAAAAAACTGCTAGTTTGTCGGTACGGCCGATATCGGATCACTACAGCATATAGCTGACATACAAACTGAGCGAACGGAATCGAGTTCCTGCATGGAAAACTTTTTTTTGTGACAAAGTATCTTCACGAAATTTCACACAGATCATTGCCCAAAGAAACTTCACAATTTACGAAGAATTTTTTTAGATCCGACTACTATAGCCTATAGCTGTCATATAAACTGGCCGATCAAGATAAAGTTCTTGTAAGGAAAATATCTTTATTTGTCAATATATCTTCACAAATTTCGACATGAATTATTGCCCAAGGTAAGGCTACAATCTCTAAACATATTGTTCAAATCGGTCCACTTTAGCATATAGCAGCAATACAAACTGATCTATCAGAATCAATATAAAGAGCTTTTTATACCCTTTTAAGCTATAAGAAATTCAACTGTGAAGGGTATTATTGCTATCAAAATCAAGATAAAGAGCCTTTTATACCTTTTTATGGTATAAGAAATGCAAACTGTGAAGGCTATTATAGCTTCGACTCAGCCTAAATATATATTTTTTCTTGGTTTGTATTTATTTGATAGAAGGAGGTTAACTTTGCTTAACAATTCCATAATGATATTAGAACCACACTCCATAATTTGCTCAAATGTATAAAAATATGTATGTATGTGTACCCATATATACTTAACACTTTATATTTCTTACAGCAAATTGCGTTTTCAAGCCGTCACGTACTCGAAACCACACTTTCATGTGCACAAAATGTAAAAGTAAAGTTTTTGGGTTGATCCAAAGTTGACAACTTAAATGCGGTTAAACAAATTACAACAACTAATCAAAGTAATTACTTGCACATTATGTATAATCCAGCGTATTTCAGCAAAATTTCAACAAACGTCAAGTGAGACACGAAATTAGAAAAGTGAACAAATTATACTTGGGCACGCCTTAGCTCAAGAATTTCGGTTTCAACTTAAACAAAAGTCTGACGAACAAGTACCCGAAGTTCACACAGTTACACAACTACTACAATAAGAAATATATTAGTACATTGCATGCCTTTCCACAGCTGTGCTGGTCGAGCTATTTCCCAGCACTTTGCTTAAGAATCCACTTAAAAGACTACCGACTAGCCAAACAACCGAAAACAATACCAGCAGCACTTTCAATGCTCTCACTCGTCAGCACGGTACGTCCAACATGCTGCATGCTCTGCATATCTACCCCCGCCATGTACACCGCATACAGTCCAAGAGCTTATAGACCACCACTCACACCTCAACCGGCGAGGGGTAGCCGCTGACTCGTCGCGCTGTCATGCCTTGTCATTCCTGTCAATTTAATTTCAGGTGAGCTTTTATTCACTCATCTAAGGTAGCGGCTTCTGCATAACAATAAAAGCAATAACAACTACAATAGCAGGTAACATAGCGCCCATCTTCAACTGATAGCAACAGACAATTTGAACCGACTGAATGCGAAGTGTTGGTCCTTTGTACGTGGCTGGCTGAGCAACGCTACGAAAATTCACATTTTCGTGCAGTTCTTTGTTTGTGTTTTTGGACATTTTGGTCTGCCTGACGCTTTACATCCAATGCTGCCGTTAAATTATGTGTAATAATAGGATTTTGTAATTGACTAACCGTGCAATATTCACATTCTGTTGGCGCATAACTTTTCCTGCGGTGACTAACTTCCAATTAAAATTAAATGCAGCGTATTTTTGAGCAATAAAATTGCAATTTTGCCATCGAAGCGGCGCTTGTACGAGCGTATGTAGGTGTTGGTTGGTGTGCACTTTGTTCATAAACACTTGGAGGTGAATATCCACTGAGGCATGCGTAGCGGAGTATTAATGACAATGTAATAACGGAAGAGTGTTCCAGTAAAAATAAAGTTTAGAAAAAAAAGACGTTTAACCACTGGAAATTACAAAGGACCTGCAGGTCTATGTATGGCCAGTATAACAAAACCTATTCTCTATCTACTGAATCGCGGGTAAACATTTGGTCATATAAAAAATTTTTTTGAGAGTTTTATGATAGTGATAAATTTAATTCGATTTTTTTTTCTTGCTTATATACGAACTTATATATATTTGGAAATATTTTCTGAAAATTTTAAGTTGTTTCGCAAATAGTTTCGAAAATATGATAGATTTACAAGATTTTTTTAACTTATTGCAAACGCAGCTTTCAGAGTCGCTGAGGCGCAATTCTCCAAAAACTGGCTGGACTTATCGATTTGAAATTTTCTAACAAACTTCTTAGATTTATATGCCACGTGAATTTTTTTAAACTGATTTGATTATTTCAAACAACTTTGGATAAGCATATTGCAGCACCTAAGTTTTTGGAGATTGATTACGTCTTCTGAGAAGGTTTCTATTCACTGTCACATGTCCCGTTTAGCCTGTGTAGTGTTTTGTGGTGAATATAAAACCGTTTTCATAGGGTTTCAAGTATAGACCAAGTAATTTGAATTTTTAGACATAGTTGTATATATATACTTCAAACGCCCTCAGAAAAGTTTGTTCTCTTTGCAAAGCTAATACCTGTAGACTATTCTAATAGCCATTCACTATCCAAAGGCATCGCGAATTATAAAAGGTTTTATGAGATTCAAGCTAATTCCCTCAAAGTACAAAGTTCATTGATATATTACAGCACAACCCATTTCAATTTCAGATCTGATAATATGAGATTTACATACATAACTGGAACTGTTATTTCAACGTGCCTTATTTTTATTATAATATGGTATTTGTAACAAGAATAATCGTCTAGCAAACCAACGTATTATAACCTGCACTCATTAATTTTAGTCCACACATTTTGTTTTGCACAACTGTATACATGTACCTATGTATGTATATTCGTATACCTACATATTGAAAATCCAATAAATAAAGGCGAAATGGCATTCATTTGTAATGAGACAACACTAATCTGATATTTAAGTTAAAGGGCGTGTTGTGTTTTGCGTCGCCTAAGTGCGAGTTTACAACTACTTACTTTCATTAACACCTTTGACCTGAAACCCGACCTGGTCACACATACATACACATGTATATAGGCACATATCATCCCGGCAGTGCATAAAACTAGTTGCTAACTATCATAGGACTGATACAATATGAATCGATAGCGCAACTAGTGAGACGAGCATGCTCGCAGGCAAGTAGTTCTTATTTAGAGTGCGCAGTCCAGCGAGTTGTGAACACTTAGTTTTCTTACATATATTCGTATATATATATCAATATTATACTAGCTCAAAATGGACAAAAAAATCAACTTGTCTTCAGACCTGAAAAAAGTAAATTGAGTTCAAAACAGTAAAGTAAGAAATGCACACAAAATAATTGTACAATAAAATACAGTAAAAACATATTTATATACAAAAAAGTAAGTTTTCTTGAAACTAGTTTAATATCTCACCACAAGGACTTACATATCCTTGGTAATCATATACGAACACATATAGACAATTCAAGACTCTCATATTCATTTCGCACAACAGATTATACACTTATACTATATGGAAGTGGTCTCAGTAGAAATATGTTGCCGTTATAAATAACATTGGATTAAGTTGAAAAAATGGTGTAGCTAAACGCTATGTATGTATGACGTTACATAAAAATATGTGAGCCACCCAGACCAGGCATTGAATCGGCTCGCATAGCACGAACATGGACACGTGCACACTCAAAGGTGTCAAACCTTTTTGTCAAGTGCCTAGGTATTAGGGAATCATAAATCTGTGGTTTGTTATGATAAAGGCTATTGGGTTTTAGACAAATGAAGACTGTAACCTCATATTTGCGAGTGTTGAATGTTTAGAGAAAATTTGTGTGCGAACAATTCTAAAGTGCCACTTAAACAAATTTATTTCTATTGGATTTATGATGCTTAATTGGGTTATTTATCTGGAGTACTTCAAGAGAAAGGCAATACGATTGAAATTTTGCGATCACTCATTCCATAAAAATTAATTGTGTGTTTATATAATATATGTAAACATATATATATGTATCTACTTGTGTCCTAATTGAAACAATTTTGTAAATCTTAAATGTAAATAAATCACAAGCAAGCAATTCAACGACTTCAATTCATTTTATTTAAAACGTATACACTATAGCAACAAGCGAACTGAAACATGTTTATGAAACACTTATTCCGCAACATGTATATAACACCATCAGCAGAGCTGCTGCTATGAAATGAGTCTACACATGTTGCTGAGCAAGCAAATACACAACTATAAAGACAATATTGGCTTTATGATAATTTTAAACAGTAATATTTCAATGTAAGCAAGGCAAATTCACTACTTCTTATATAAATAAATGCTTTACACATAAAACATGTACGCCATAAAACACTGCAGCATTATTCTAAAGCATTGCACCCACCCTGTCTCAAAATACCCTGGCAACCATAATAACAACAAAGAACAGAAGCATACTGTCAGCTGCTCAGCTGTCATTTTCAGTTAAAATTTTGTTGTGTCTGGTTTCCTAGAACGGAGAGTTGCAAAATATTAAATTATTTTTATACTTTTATAAAAAGGTTAACAAACATAATAAACCGCAATTCAAATTAGCGTAAACAGCAAAAATGGCAGATCTTAAGAATGATGTTGATAGCGATTTGGATCAGAATTACTCCTTGAGTAGTAATACGGATCCGAAAAATATGCAGGAATTAACAATATATGTGAGTAATCGGCATTAATTTATTATTAACGGTGTAAAATCATAATCTTTCAACAAATCTACTGTTATTTGGTAAAGTGTAAGTTAAAGATTTTATGGTAAAGTATTTGAAGCGCTTATAATAGTTTGCATTAACGCTCTGTATAGGATAACCGCCACTCCCATTTTTTTGCTAATGTACACAAATCTCTTAGCAACAACGCCAACGTTGTAGTAACAAGAAAAATGCGTATATATGTATATTAGTATAATACATCCATTTAAAAAAAACCATCTGCGGATATGAAATGACATTTCAGAAATATATAATAAGCGCCCATTAATTTCACAAATTCTTATACAAAATTTCCATTCTAGGTACAAAACCTGCTACAAAATGTACAAGACAAATTCCAAACAATGTCGGATCAAATAATCACTCGCATCGATGATATGGGCAATAGAATAGATGACTTAGAGAAAAGCATTGCAGATTTGATGAATCAAGCCGGCGTCGAGGGCCCGGAAAAGTAAACGCATAAATTTTGGAGCGACATGTTAGCATAGATATACATATGTTCATGAATCGTACATTTAAACATTGCTCATAATTTGACAATTTGTCAATGGAACACAAATATTTATGTGTATTCCAAATCAAATCATGTATTATTGCACATACATAAATATACACCGACATAGAAGTCGATCACCACAAATACGCACCAAAAAGCAGCATTCAGTGCTGATAAGAATTGGCTTCAACAAAACACAAAACGTTTAATTAAGTTCATTATCTTAAATAAGTATATGAAAAAAATATAAAAGATAAGATTTTAAAACTTTTGTTACAATTCAAATGAAAATAATTATTGAGCGCGTTGTAATGTGCTGTAACAAGTTAGTATTTAGTTAATTCTCATTGTATAATTGAAAATAATTTACTTTCCTTAGTTAGAATTTTCATTGGTCTTTGGAAAACTTGGAATAATAAAAGCATTAATTTTAAACCATACAAACACTGTTGTCTATATCACCATATATGGTTTAGTTAAATTCTCGCTACAACAACAACATTTAGTTGAATTTGTTATTTCAATCGTAATTATGCGGAAGAGTTTATTATTGGGATATGCACATACATATAATATGTTTGTACAAACTTGTCTTGGTTGTATAATCAATTTGGATTGAATTCATTATGTTAATTATTATTACAATTTTGTATATTTACTTCTTCGATTCAACAATTGTCACTAAGCGACTACTTGGACCTTCCAGTGTCATTGTCACGTTACTAGGGTTACCTTTTAGCTGATGTTCCTTAACGCCGAAATGTGGTGCTGATGCACGTTTTTGCAATGTTGGTATGCCAACGCCACTTTTAGCAGCGAAAGGCTTGTGTTGACTTTGTGACTTGCCGACCTGATCGAAAGGTAAAATTAATTATATTAAGTTTATACTAAAAATGTTTTCCTTTTGTGATAAATAAGTTGAACTGCTCTATTTTCTACACGCATGCATATGGTACTACATACAACCAATTGAAAATTTTTCAATTAAAACATCTAAAGATGTACTCTATGCCAATACAGCTTAAAACTATTTGGATTTTCCATGCAATTGTCGTTGCGTTCTTACGTTCGCCGAGGATATAGCGCGAAATGGCTGTTTTGTTGGTTCCTTTGTTTTTTTCTCATTCATTTTATTTGCAAGCGTTGCTGGTTTCGCTTCTGAAATACTCTCTGTGGGCTCATCATCATCGGAGGCAGTACCCGAGTGTTCCTCCTCGTCATTTGTATTATCACCCGATGCCTCTAAGTCCTCCTACAGAAAAATTGTAATGTAGTACAAATGAATACATTTATAAAAATTAGCTAATAAACCTCATCATCATCATCATCTTCGTCCTCTTCCTCTTCGTCATCTCTCGTATTGTCGCGCTCATCATCGGTTTTGCCCGTTAAACTTTTATTGCTACGTGAAATTTTTTTAGCATGCTTTAAGGGACTTAAAAGTGTATCGTGATCTAAGCTATCCATCGATTGTGACCGCATTCCCTTCTTGAGTGCCTGCTTTCGTCCAGTAGGTTCGCCTTTAGTTTTCATTAATTTTTGAAATTCATTAAAATCACCATTTTCATCAATATTCGAGACATCATAATAACTGGCCGAAAGCACTTCCAATGTTTTCGTATGGTATTTTAGACTGATTAATATGAAATCGGTTAGTAAAGACCTGATCTCTGACAGTTTTCGCTTTTCAAAGGTATTGATAATATCATCAATTTCTTTGTTGCAGCGGTTCACTTCCAATTTGGCTTTCAGCAATTCTGAATCAGCAGCCGTCTAGTAGGGTGAAATTAAAATTATAAACGTAAATAATACAACGATGTAGAAATAAAGGCGTCTGAATATGTATGTTAGTATTATAATTGTTTTTCTTTTTTTTGCTTTTTGCTTCAAACTCACATTATTTGCTGTAAATTTCGATTTGATTTCAATTAATTGCTGTTGCTTCAAAACCTCCTTGTCACGTGCAATCGTTGCTGCGCGCAAATTATCTCGTGTGGTTTTACAAAGATTTTCGAATTGACTCAATTCATTGACTATCTGCAAATATTTGAAGTTTGCGCTCAGTTTTTTAAATGATGTATTGAATAAGAAAGGTTTTCAAACATAATTTTAGCCAAAACTCTCTCTTCCCGTATACATTTATTGCATTGCATTAATGTGTGAAAAAAATGTATAATTTTTCACCTTCATTTCCAAACGATGCACCAGCAAATCCATATAATCCGCTTGTACAGTTAATGAAGTGGTAATGGAGTTTAGGCCATCACTTAAGCTATAATTGATCTTCTCCTCTTCGGCGAAATTCTGAACTTTGTGCCCCAAATCGTCGAAGGCATTGCGGCATCTATAAAAAAAGAACATTTAATGCATTTACATATATTTGCTATAGATAGGTAGGAGTGATGCATGCATCACTTTGATGCTAATTGCTCTATGCACAAGTCTAATTTGAATAAAAATTTAGGTAGCAATCCAACGTGTTAATTACTTCGCTATTTTTCTGGTGCAAGCTGCAAAGGAAGCACATATTTCCAGTAAATGTTTCTCTGTCATATTAATGCGCTCATTCATTATTTTAATGCGATCATCTTTCGTGCTAAGAAAATGCAGTTTGCCACGACGAAACATAGTGTTTATTTTAGTTTAATTAATATCTTATATATTTTTTTAAAGCTCGAAATTTTCTTTGATTTGTTTTGTGTTGTCAGAATATTTGAAATCAACTTGAAACCATAGCAACAATGGCGTTAATGGTAAGGATAAGGAAGAGTACAGCGCCATCTGTGGCATAATAGCAAAGACACTGAGAAAAACACTTTAACAGTTTGAGAGAAATCTACTGATGATCAGATCAGTATAAACAACAATTACATTATTTTTTATTATTGTAACAGCAAACATGAAGAAGAAGCGTTCTCTCGCCTAGTTTTAAAGAGAGAATAAAATATCAAAAATTTTAATTGAGTACAGAGGACAGCCTATGCATGCGGTTACCGGAGTCATTAAGTAATGTCCGACTACGCATTAAAGTTTTCCTACGAAAAGTAGCAATATTTTCTGCTATAAGAATCCAGGAGATAAGAAAATAGAACATGAAAAGTTATGAGCATAGCGATATCCTGAACCAGCTCGGAATAAATTTGAATAGCTCAGACTACATATATCCTTCCAAAATTGGAATTCAACAGTGACTTACATAGGTGAGATAGATGTGAATGGAGACGATTTTTAGTAGGGGAGAAGAATACTATCACAATCTATACCGACGGGTCCAAAGTGGACTGCGGAGTAGAGACGGGGGTATACTACGAATATCTTGATATCTTTATCTCTCCATCAGAAACTGAGGTCGAATCTTCCAAGCGAAAGTACTAGGCATATAGAAGGCCTGTGGAGTTTTACTGAATAACTACGGGAGGATACAGAGAACTACCTTATACACAAATAGCCAGGCGGCATTGATAGCCTTGTCGTCGCCAAAGATAAATTCCAACATATGGAGAACACGCGTTATAAATGGGAATCCCTAATAACAATATTTGCCGCAGTTTACTGTTAACTCGAAGGAATTAAGAAAACGGTTTTACATTTCCTCTGCGAGTGCCCCGCACTATCAAAACCCCGATGTAGAACTCTTGGAATCCATCAGGTACCAAACCTCGAATGTCTATCTACAAAAAGCATTACGGAGATAAGTCGTTTCGTTGAGGCCACAACGATGAAACAAGATAGCAATACTTAAAGGTCTTACGAATAGTGTATCAAAATGGCGATTTAACGCTAATTGAGCCCGAAGTGGCTGCACTCATACCTATCTACCTACCATTCGCTCGGCTGAACCGAAGCTATAATACCCTTCACATGTGCATTTCTTAAAGCATAGAAGGATATAAAAAGATCTTTATCCTGGTTTTGATCGGTCAGTGTTTATGACAGCTTTATGATATAATGGTCCGATCTGAACACTCTATACCGTGGGCTTGGTCAATAATTCATGCCAAATATCGTGTAGATATCTTGTCAAGTAAAAAAGTTTTCCTTACAAAAACTTGATTTGAATAGTTCAGCTTGTTGCGTAGCTATGTATATGCTATAGTGGTTCGATATCGGCGATTCTGATAGAGGAGCAGCTACTTGGTTCCAAAAACCAACCTAATGAGACACACTTGTAGTCAGTTTTGTATGATAGATTATATAAAATATCCGGTGTATATGCTATAGTGGTTCGATATCGGCGATTCTGATAGAGGAGCAGCTACTTGGTTCCAAAAACCAACCTAATAAGACATAGTCAGTTTTATATGATAGATTATATAAAATATCCGGTTATATGCTTTTTACCGCTTTGTATATATAGGTAGAACCGATTGTCGTGGGTTAGACCCTTGTTTAACCTATACCTTGCTACCTATAGAACCACCGACTTTATTTAGCAGCTTAGCATTCTGTACCCGATCTTGTCAAATAGCTGCGAGTGATTCATGAAACCTTGCTGCACAGCGTGATCGGGCTCATTGCTTAAGCGAGTATTTTAGTCTATAAATAAATAAAAACAAAAGGTTTTTTTTTTATATTTTCAAAGTATTAAGAAGAGAAGAATAAAAAAAAAACAAGATTTTTTTTTTTTATATTTTCAAAGTTTAACTATTAAAAAATATTCAAAACTATGCCCACAGGAGTATATTTCAAAATTCAAATTATTTTCGGGGATATAGGTATTTCGCAGACCTGGTATCCAAACTAGTTCGGCCGGAAGTAAACGAACAACTGGCTTTTTAAAAACGATATCCATGATTTCTCAGGTTCTACTGGACCGATTTACCTATAATTTTTAGAGAATCTTCTTTACTCACTTGTCTAACTTGTCTATGTCTGGCACTATTCATATGCTCATATTTAAATTTTTACTATTTTTAAAAAATTCGAAATAGTTAAAAAAAGTGACACAAAAATTGTTTTTTTTATTTTATTTAAGGAATCGCAATTTCGTAAAAAAAGTTTTGCCAACTTTTTCGCAGTACCAGACATTCTGACATTATTCTAGTTTAATATTTTTTTATTTTTATTTCAGTTTGCTAACTCACGTGGTATGGTCATGTGCCAATTTTTTGAGACCGCCTACTGCAAGTTCTTTTTAACGTTTTTTTATTTGTGATTCTATTTTATGTATTCTTGCAATGTTAATAAATAATTAATAAAAAAATGCCTAGTAGAAATATTAATTGCATTTTTACGACACTTCAAAAATTAACTGAAATTCACGTCTCTAGACTAAAATACCCTCTTAATGAAAAAAAATATATTTTTATATATTTTATTTATATTTTTTATTTATTTTATTTTTATACTTTTGCAAAGGTGATTTATGCATAACATAATAATGATAATATAGTAATAATAATAATAATAAACGTGTAGTATACGTAAGTATGTATATATGTAGATACATTAAATGTACGAGTAAGTCAAAACAAATATTACTTTAATAAGTTAATCTAGACAAATTTTATAAACATTTGCTGCTTAATGCAAAATATAAATAGTACATAATTTAGATTTTGTCTACAAACTGACAACTCAAAACTGCGTTTTTTCAGAGTTTTGTCTTTGAATTTTTTGTTTTTTGTATTACTATATTTTTTTTTCTTTTTTTTGATTACTGTAATTTTTTTCCGTTTTTGTCGTGTTTGGTCATTTCGGTTACTTAAAGTAAAAAAAAATCGTTTATTACAATAAACATTTGTTTAATTGTTTAAGTGTAGTTGTATAAAAAATACGGAAAAGTTAACAAAGCAATAAGCGTTTAAACAATTATGAATAATATCGTAACTTTACACATACATATATGTACATACGTTTATATATGTATGTATGTTATGTAAATCCATAGCGAAATGAATAAATAGTTTATAACGATAAGTTTGCATAATGCGTTTTAGGTACACATAGGAAAAGCATAGCTAAAGCGTAAATTGTATACCAAAGTTAATAAAAGTAAACAAAATATATTAGAATACACACTACAATAATGTAAGTATGTATGGATGGATTCTGGCAAAACTAAAATACTCGCACATGCGCTTCTAGTGCGTGTGCTAATTTTATGCTTAACAATTTTTTATTTTTGTTTTTTTTTTATTTTTTATAATTTGATTTATTTATTCAGCAACTTACTTGTTTGCCTTAGCTCAACTCATTTCAAAAAATAATAATAATATTTCACATCGTTCGTTATGTAAGTTTGCCGTTTGTTCCATTTGTTTTTATTTTTTTTTTAGCCAAAAGGAATTTAGTTCAATGAAATTTGGTTGAGCACCAATTTAGGACACTTGCTGCTTGCGTTTCGATGCATAATTACATAAATGCCAACAACAACAACATTATTCGATTTTTAACTAATTTTACTTTAATTACTTTAATTACAATAAGTTTTTGGCAAATAAAGTAAATGTTTCGTTTAGCAAAAAAAAAAACTAACTATGGTAATGCCTGTTTGGGAATGTTTTCGATTTGCGAAATTAATCGTGCTTCAGTACTTGTCAGTCGTCCACGTTGCGTACAGCCATTCATTGCGGCAACAACATGCACACGTTGGAGAGATTTGTGCGCATGCGTGTGTGCGCGCTCTAAACGGTGACGTAACATTGACTTTATTGTTGTTTTGTTTAGCGAAAAAGCAAATGCACACAGTTTTGACACAACCGCTGTGTTTTTGGGAGATGTGGTCATGCAAAAATGTGTGCGTTTGTCAGTTTTCGCGCATTTTTTGGGTCATGAGTTTTAATTAACATTTTTTTTTTTGATGTCAAAGTTGTTGGTGCAATTTTCTTTATGTGGCTTTGCGAAAATTAAAATTTTTGGAGAGTTTTTATTTTTGTTGTTGTTGAATTGTTTAAGGATTTCGGTTTTCTACTAGTTGGTTGTTGTTGGCATTTTCGTCATGCGTTGCCATGCAGTGTGTCAAGCAAAAATGTTCCACGAAATTCGCTTAGCACACGGCATCATGGCGCACAAGCGTTGTGTGTGCAGTTGTCTCTTTGCGTTTAGCAAGTATTCCTTTTTCGTGTACTGAAAATATCAAAATTTGTTTTACTATAATTTTTCGTGTTCTATGTGCGTTTCGTAATTTGTTTTTTGTTTTTGATTTTTTTGTTTTTTGTCAAGCTTAAATACTAAAATTTCACATAAGTTGCTACATTCTTTTGCTTTGTTTTCTATTCTTTAACACGCATTATGTTCATTATTTTATTTTTATTAATTATAAATTTTAATTATAACCGATATGCAGACAGCCGTCGGTGAGCACAAGGCTCTTTACTTACAATTTTTTTTTTGTTTTGTTTTTGTATTACCCTATATTCATTATTCATTCGCCGTCATTTTGTTTAACTTACGGTTTGCCTAAACGTCTGTTTCGGTTTCTGTTTCGTTTTGTCAATTATTCCAAAGCCCTATCTAATGCCTATTAAATGTACAAACTACCAGGGAAACTTCGTTCGGCAAGTATTTGAATTCTTTATGTTGCACTAAGTGCTGTACAAATTTATAGCAATCAGTATTTGTTTACAGTTTATTGTACATACAATTACAAGCAAGGCATATACACACATGTATGCCGTTTATACACGACTTTTTGCTTAATTCTTTTGCAGCTACGCTAACAAAAATTGATATTTAACATTTTTTTTTAATTTTTGTGCAATTTCACGCAAGCGTACAAAACACATCGTTTCTTTTTCTTAATTTTCCAACTGCAACTTTTTTTTTAACGCTGTACAATTTTGTACACAATTCCTTCTCATTTACAAATCTCATTTTTCTTACATATTTATATGCATATATATTCATTCATATACATATATATTACTTATATTCGTTTTTCTTATATACTATTGTTTGTTCGTTTAATTTAATTGTGTTTTCTGTTTTTTTGTTTTCTGCAACCACCCACTACTACGTTGGTGGCGGTCCGTTCGGGTATGACAACATCGGCTCTAGGCTGCGCGCAAACGAATTCGAGAACATGCAGGTGTAGTCTTCACCGTGGGGCACAAGTGTGGCAACACCCAACAACAGCAACATGAGCGCTTGTATGGGCAGCGAGGCACGTGCAACCCGTCCGAGGAAGCGTGCACCGCGCGCAAGTACGGTGGTGTTGATGGCATCGCCATCGGCAGCATCGGCATCGGTGCCGGTGGTGCCGCTATTGTAAAGAGATAGTAATACAAATGTGTTAGAGAAATATAAAAAAGGCAAAATACAAGAAATTTAGGCAAAAATAGTCAACAAAAATATATATATATACACGCTGAAAGACTACTTTTTGTAACTGTTTTTTAAGTTGGTGCGTCAAAAAAAGCTTGATTTCGATATATCACAGAAGTTGAGAGTTGAATATGACATTAAAAAAATATCATCATATATCATATATAGATCATATTTGTAGAGTTTCCACAAAGTTGTATGCACACTGTATCGCATAGCAGCTGCAGAAAATAATTATTGGTTTGAGGTTAACTTAAATAATTTTATAAATGTAGAGATGCGTGTGGAGAGTAGAGAGTCGAGCTGATACTTGAGCTTTAATTGTAAAAGAGTTGTAATTGAACAATAAAACAGTTAAATGAACGGTAGGTCCAAGGACGTTTTTGCCAGGGTTACATTTATGGAAATAATCATTACTGGTTTCGTCTTGGGAACTCATGAGTACATTAAGCTTTTCCTATAAAAAAAAAACAAGAAAAAACGTTAACTTCGGTTGCACCGAAACTATAGTATCCTTCACAAATAAAAAAATATTCGTGCAGTTTGTATGGCAGCTATATGCTATAGCGATTCGATCTGATCAATTTCATTGGAGAATGCACTGTTGCCATGGACAATATTAAATGTCAAATTTCGTGAAGATATCTCGTCAAATGGAAAAGTCTTCCATACAAGCTCTTGATTCTGATCGTTCAGTTTGTATGGCAGCTATATCTTATAGTGATACGATATCGGTCGTTCCGACAAATGAGTAGCTTCTGAGTGAGAAAATAACGTGCCCGAAATTTCAGATCGATAGTTTGCATATATACACCCAGATGAGCAGACGGACAGACAGACGAATATGGCTAAATCAACTCAGCTCCTCACGCTGATCATTTATGTATGTATACTCTATGGAGTCTCTGAGGCTTCCTTTTGGGTGTTACAAACAGAGTAGACATGCTATAGACATGCCAAAAGCAAAGATATTTTTTTAAATTTCTAATTGATTTAATATAGTTTTTTATTAATTATATATATATATTTATACTTGTAATTATTTGAGATAATTTGGCATTGCATTAGCATTTCTTCTGCTCTCATATCAAAACCAAGCAATTTTGTAGCTCGCTCCCAAATCCACTGGCAAGAAAGCGAATTTACTAAGTATAGTGCGTTTGTGCGTGTAGAAATTTTAACACAAAAATAATAAAATTATGAAAGTAATATTTTGCCAGTAGACTTAGCTTCAACGACTTAATATTTTACTGCTAATTAACTAAAGCATGCAATTTTTTTTTGTTTTTGTACTTAATTGAAATATTCAAACTATTGAAGTTTAAAAATAAATAGTTGAAAACGAATAAAATGCATTTCGAAACTTATAAAAACTATTTTACAATCTAATAATATTTACTTTGCATTATCAGTGTATGGTGCGGCTGCCTGCATGGAAGAAGATGTAGAGGGTAATGTAGTTTGATCCAAAAGCTGTTTTGCAATAAAAACATAAAACGAAAAATTAAAAAAAAAGAATAATACAAATAAATTAATATACAATGTAAACACTGAGTAAATAAAGGCACAAATTAAATTAAAAAATTACTAAAAACTATTGTTTTTAAGCATGTCTGCGACTAAGTAAATATTACAAATATTTTGAAAATTTTAATTAATTTTTTTATTTATATAATATAATATTTTTTTTTAATTTAATTCACGTTTGTTTAATTTCGAATCCAATCAGGTTTGGTGCTTAAGAAAAATTATTATTATTTTTTCAATTTGAACATTAAATAAATGAAATTGTTTCACACACATTACATTAGCAAAGAATTGAAGTCAACATTTTTTAGTTATATTTTTTTTTTAATTTTTTTTCTTTAATTTTTTTTAATATCTTTTTCCTCTCCCATTTAGCTTACCTCATTCGACAACATATGCAGCGACACGCCCATATTATCACCATCATAGCCGAGCACAGCGCCCAACTTCACGATGTAGATGCCGGACAGGCGTCGCAAGGATTGTAAACGCAAGCGCAGATCGGTCAGCCTGGAAAGGGTTCTTCGATTTAATGCGAATGTTAGTGAACTTACGAGATAATCAATTGGATGAAGTGTTAGAATGGGCGGACGAAAAGTTTCGAGTTTTAAACAAAAAAGTGCAAAAAACCAAATACGCAACCAAAAGAACGCCAACAAGAACAATAAGAAAGCGTTCATTCCAATTTTGTTTCGGAAAATTTGGTGTTTTTGTTAAGCAAAAAATATATAGTATTTGTTCAACAAAATTATATAACATATAGATTATATATATATGTATGTAGTACGCATATATGTAGGCATAAAAGGTAAAGAGAATCAAAGAGTAATATGGCAATAAAGTAAGTTGTAAAGTAAAATGGTAGAAGCTAAAATAACAATGGGTTATATACCGTTACATTATGTATAGAACGAAATGTATGAAGTAGAATAAAACTAAGGAAAAACACATATATCTTATTTTTTATAAGACAAAATGGACATAATGTCATTCTTTTCATGATGGATTACATTTTTTTATTTTATAAGCCCCAAGTGCAATGGAAGTTACTGTTATGAAAGCTCTCAAGTAGTGCAAATATGAAAATAACTGTTTACATAATATCGGCACAGGGGCACACATATGAAATATTCAACAATGTAGGTATTTGGACAAATATATAATATGTAGAATTTAAAAAAAATATATATAAAGCTACTCAATTTTTAATTTTGTCAAACTAAATGCAGCTTTCATTTTTCAAAAGTCATAATTCAAAGCTCAAAAATGTATGTATTAAAGCTAAATAAGAAAAGTTGTTCTTTAAAGATTACCGTGCTTAAAGCTTTTTTCCTAAATGAGAAACAAAATTTTAAGACTTCACAAGCTTAAAGCTCTTTACGAAAATGGCAATTTACAATGCAAGAAAAGAACATGCGGCATTGAAGGCCATTTACAAGTTCTCTTATGCCATTATTAATAAAGCTTTCACTGATGAAAGCTTCAAAATTAAAATATCTAAGCATTACTTTTATCTATATGTTTTATTTAAGCCTTCAAGAAGGAAAGCCTCAACAGGAAGCTGTTTTCCTAAATAAAAAAGCTTTTCTTCAAAGCTTACTAAGCTTTAAGCTCTTAACGAAAATAGCAATGTTAAATGCGAGAAAATAATATGTGATATTAAAAGGCATTTACAAGTTCACCGGTTTCATTATTCATAAAGCTTTCACTAATAAAAGCTTCAACATCAAAATATCTGAGTATTGATTTTATATGCTTTCATTAGGCTACAGCTACAACACTAAACTATTTGAGTATTTATATGTTTTCATGAAGCTTTTAAAAACGAAAGCCTCAACAAGAAACTTTTTTCTTAAATAAAATAAATTTTTCTTTATAGCCTACCAAACTTTAAGCTCTTTACGAAAATGCCAATTTTCAATGCGAGAAAATAACATGCAACTTTGAAAGGCATTTACAAGTTCTCTGATAACATATTAATAAAGCTTTCACTAATGAAAGTTCTAACATTGAAATATCTGAGCATTACTTTTATATCTTTTCATTAGGCTTTCAATAAATGAAAGCTCAAGCATTAAAAAAATTTATTATTACTTTTATATGTTTTCATTAAGCTCTCAAAACTGAAAGCTTCAACAGTAAATACTTTAGAATTTCTTACACATAAATACATACATTTTGTTGTTTCCTTATATAATTTATATATTATTATATTTACTATGTGTGCCCACTTTCACGCTAAAATCCCTTTATTTAGTTTTTATGTAATGTTTATTAAGCAAAACTTGAACAAACTTTTTGTTAGAAAAAACCCGAAAACTACAATAAGTGTTAGTAAAATTTCGTATTTCGAACACATAAACTTTTTTTATTTCAAACAAAGCACTATGACACTATGAAGTATGTGGTTTAAAATTTATAGATATAAAAATTGTAAAACTAAATAATAGAATGCATTATCTGTATTGTTGCTACGAAAAATAAAACAATTCTGTCAAGTGGTCTACAAAGCAAGTTTAGCAAAGCAAGAGTCTACACTACAATATCAACTACTACATAAAATACTGTTAACGTTCATCTCAGCCCATTCTTAGCAACGTTGTTTAATGTGGTAACTTAACTCGGTTTTCCCAAGCGAAAATCATGTATGCTATTTTAGCTTTTAATTTTCTCTTTTGCATTTTGTTTTTGTTCACAAACTATTATTTTCTGCCCACTTTCAAACGTATCGCAAGTTCTTACACAACTTTTGTTTCGTACAACCCCCTACTTTAATCGTTCCGCCCTGCGGCTTGGCGCATACGCGCGCTTACCTTGCATAGGTGTGCGTTGACTCGGCGCTCGTTTCGTCCACAGACCTCAACAGCTGATCGGCAGCGTCTTGCAAACTCACTACACGCGGTTCGCAACGTTCCAATTCGGCGCGCAACTCTTTGAATTTACGGAATTTCGCCTCCAACACGCTACGCTCCTCAGTCAAATCCACCGGTTCCGATGATTTGATATTCTGTTCGGTTTGCTGCAACCATGCGCACAACTCATCGATTATCTGATGGAATTCGCTATTGCCCATGAGCGCAGTTTGTAATAGACCCTGCCATTTAGCAGCGACCATACAAACTGTGTTCCAGCGTTGATTATCGGCTTCGAGACGATCGCGCAATTGGCGCGCCTTCTCTGTGTCCAATGTGTGTGTGGCCAAATGATCGCCGACCACATTCAAACTCATCACAATCGATTTGTGACTCTCAAGATCGAGCAGGAATTCACGATGATCCTGCACCACATCCTCGAGCAGTTCAATATTCGATGGTGGTGTGGTTTGCGCCTTTTGTGTGCCTTCGGCAAACTGCAGCCATTGCTCGAGGCGCCACAGATCGTTGTCGATCTGCTGCCAATTGCGTTGTGTGCAAAGCGGGCAAGTCAGGCGTCCGACCTCACTGTTTGAGAGTAGTATGAGAGAAAAAAATGAATTAGTGGTTTTTTCAGTATTGAGTGAGTGAGTATTAAGTATGAGTAGATGCAAAACACCGAAAGAAAATTTACTTAAATTTACAGTTATGTTGGCTTGTATGTACAAATAAATTTACAGTGTAATGGCACTTACTGTGGACAGGTCAATTTGTATGCAGCGGGAAGCGCACTTCTGTTAATCATTTTTTATGAAAATGCGTTTGCGAATTTGACACATAGCACATTTGAGAGCGTGACATGAAGCATGTGTAAAGGCGTGCGTTAATTTTTTATAATTTTTTTTTTTTTTTGTTTTAATGGCATTGTTTTAGTTTTCACACGTGTGTGTAGGTGTGTAGAGTGTAAATAAACAAGAAAACAGAGAATAATAATATGAGTATCCCAACACCAAAGTAAAAATAGTTATTTACATTTACACTTGATATGGCTAATATAATTACTTGACCGTCACTTACCTAGATTTTTGATCTTGCTGTTGACGCGTCTTCCATTGCGACAGCAATGTTTGGAAACGCAGCGCCAGCTCTGCCACTGTTTCAACTTGCGCTTCGTCGGCGCTCGCCTGGCATTCGCTCAACAACAGCTGACTCAAATGCTTCACCAGCTCGGTAGACGATTGTGCATTGCTAATCAATTTGGACATCTTTTGCGGACCCGGTTTGCGTGTCTTGTCGCAAATGGTGCGCTTCAACTCATCGAGATTGGTTTGGCATTCTTTAATCGCTGTCTCCAGCTCCATGATGTAGGCATCTTTGGCGGTGATCGAGGTTTCGCGTTGCATTTGCGCCTTGCGCAGCTTGCGCTGTGACAAAGTGTTCACTTGCACGCTGGCATCGGCCTCGGAAGCGTGTGTGGCGGTGATTGCTGCCTCTGCTACAGCGCCGGCAATACCGCTAGCGGCGGCGGCCGCCTTTGCGATCCATTCGGTTTTGATTGTGATTATGCGCGTTTGCAGTTCACGCCAAATGGTGGTGTATTGCGTGATGAGCGTTACGATGCGCGTCAGTTCATCCTGTTTCGCTTTGGTTTTAGTTTCGGCCGCCAGTTTGTCAGCACTTTCTACCTTTTCGCCGGCTTGTTTCAGCTTGGCTTCCAAGTTTTCGATACGTTTTACTGCAGCTTGTGCTTCGGCGGGTGTGCTTGGCTGTTGCTTTTGCAACCGTTCCAGTTCGCTTTGTATACTGGTCAGTGCGTTTACAGCCTCCTGTTGTGCCTTCTCAAAATCACGACGCAGTTTGACATCTTTATCGATGACATCGATAACAGCGTGACAACGTGGTCCGAGTTGACGCCACTTCGCCAACATTACTTTCGTCGGCATGGTAAGACTCTGTATATTCTCGGGGTCAACGCCAGCGCTCATCATGAGTTTGGCATAAGTCTGCGCCAATTGGTTGAGTGGCGCCTCTTGTGCCTCCAGCTCACGCAGCTTGGTTTCGACAGCTTTTTGGCGTGCGGCAGCTTCCTCCTTCGACAAGGTTGAGAGATCACGTTCAAAGGCGGCAATGTCTGTCTCCTGTTTGCTAAGCCAAGTTTTGTACTCAGTTGTAAACTTGATCAATTGTTGCAACAAATTCCAGGTGGTAAGTATGCGTTGCTTGCGTTCAGCAGATTGCTGGCAGACATTCTTCCAGCGTTTCTCGAGATTCTGCGCAGATACACCTAGATTCGAGGTGTTCACATGCGAGCGCCAGGTATCCGCATCATTTAACAGCATTTCAACCAAGTTCAACACTTCACCAACATTGCTGCTGTGATTCTCAATAGAACGTTGTATTTTCTCATGCTCCTTGAGTTTCGCCTCTATAACTGGTGGTGTGTACGACTCGAAAGTGAGCGGTTTATCTAATTCGGTCTCTACTTCGAACATCCAAGCACGTATTAAGGCAATGCGCTCCTCCAGTCGCAGCAGTGTCATCTTCAAATCGCCAATCTTGTTGGCGCGCTGCTTGCTCAGGTACTTCAGCCGTTCCCAACGATCGATTAGCATATCCGATTTCTCTTGCACCTCGTGTCGTATGGCATCTGCATTGCGCGAATTGTCTGTGTAGAGTGAGATAAGCTCGCGTCCCGTAGACAGCAGCCATTCACGATCCTTTTCGCGCAACTGTAGCTCAGCGGTGATTTGTTTATCCAGCTGACGTGCTGCGTCCTCGGGATTCGCAATGGCTGAGATGTCTGAATCACGCTCAACGCGATGTTCCAAATCGCTTAACCAGTGCGCCAAACGCTCGTAGCGTGTGTTGAAGAGCGCATGCAAAGATAAACGCTCCTCAATGATGTTTATCAAAGTCGAGAGTTGGTATTCGAGATCAGCGTGTTGCTGCCAGTGCAGCCAAATCTTCTGTCTTATGGCCTTCATATCATGCGGACTAATACATTCTTTGAGTTCCTCTTGTGTGACATTGAGCGCTTCAAGATCTTGCGTGAGCGTCGAAAGATGTACTTGCTGCGCGCGCAATTTACTTAGACAATCCTGTATATCATTGGCGCTAGTGGGTAACAGCGTATTTGTTTTGCTTACCAATTGTTGCACTTTGTCGAACTCGGTATCCAGCTGAGCGACACGTTGCTCATAAGAGCTCGCCAACTGTGAGATTTTCACCAGGAAGCTATTCCATGTTTCGAGTGCGGCCTTCAAGTTGTTAATGCGCTGTGCCACACTTGACTGTTCCATGCGTATGGAGGTGGCGAGCGCATCGTCGCAGAAGCGCAGTAAACCAGTTTGCTGCTCCTTCAATTTCGTCAACATTGCTTCGCCTGCTGGCAGCTGTTGTAGTAACTCATCAAGCCGCTGCTTGAGGCGTGGCACGCGCTTAAGGTGTATGTAGCGCAGTTGCAAGCGTGTACGCTCCTTCTCACGCTCCTTCAACCATTCGAGTAGCGCAGCCAAATCAGCGCGATATGTATTCCAAGCAGTCATGCGCGCCTCCAGCTCATTATTGCGTTGCATAATACGCGATAGCGTCTCATTATGCATGTTCGTCAGCACTTTGAATTGTTCGGCGAGTGCTGGTTCGAGTTGCTGCTCGGCTTCCGTGTGTGTGGCGAGTACGTTTTGCTGCGAGATAAGCAGATTTTGATGAATCTCACACAAATGCTGTTGCTCCTTGAGACTTGTATAGTCTTCGGGTATATTGCAGGCAAGAAATTGTTGCACGTGTTGCAAGTATTGACGCCACAATTTCAATGCCTCAGCGCTGTTCTGACTGCGCAGCAAACGTGTGGAAAGGCGATGATACTCTTGGAAGGTGTCCTGGAATATTTTCTGCCACAATTCCAGCACTTCGATAATGGTGTTGTCATCATCAGCCAGATTTCCACGTTCAGTCGTCGTATTCTCAATATTTCGCTCACGCAGCTGCTTCAGCTCTTCCTCGGTACGTGCCAGTGTCTGCAAGTGGGTGCGCAATGCCGTTAACTGCTCCTCGCTAGGCACACCGGCCGCTGTGACCTGCGCTTGGCGATCGACATCCTGTAAATGACGTAGCATTTAGTTTAAGTTTTAATTTTATTTTGCGAAAAGCTGGTATTAAAAATGCTAATGTGAATAGAAATGATGGAAATGATTGGAGCGCACACGAAATGCACTCAGCCACATCGGCTCGGCAACTGAATGCGAATGGTGTTTAAATGCCAGTAAAATTGCCACATTGTTTGTGCCACTTTTTGTTGTAATTGCCATAGCCTGCATTATTAAATTGGCCGTTGCATGCATTACAATCACATCAATTACCAACGTTTACAAATACAACCGCGTGTATTGTGTCAGCATGTGCGTTAGTGAAGTCTGTAGCATTAGACTGTCTACTGCAGTTCGCTATCCACCCACTCACAACCACCTAACTCAGTATCAAGAAATTATTCGCAAATTTGTGCTATATATTTCTTTTACAATACATATGTATTTCTACATACACAGCACTAGGCCTACATAGTTTTAGTTCATACAACCAATTTAGAAGACTTTAGAAGAAGGTAATTGCAAAAAAGTTTAACTTCCTATAATTTGATAATGACTTCACCGCAAAACAGAACGCGTTTGTGGCGGCGTTTCAAAGTCAATATAAAACCAAGCGAACAGCAGTTTTATACACTCCCACCTGGCGAGCAGTATATATACATATATGTTTGTATATAAGTACACACACACGCACGCATTGGCATTTGTGTGGCTATAAAACGCTTTTAATGATGCCACACTCAATTGGTAAAGTAAAGGACCCGCATATGTCTGCATGCCTAGCGAGCAAATCAAATGTACTTGCATACTGACTTCTTCAGCAAATGTTTAAAAAACAACGTCAGTCTCTTGCGAAATACTAAACACGTTTAGTACTAACGGTATTTTTACTGAACTCTCCTCATTGGTTTAAAAGTTTAGTTGAATGTGCCATTCATATATGGAATAAATATTAATTTAAAAAATTTAGCACTAATAAAATTCTGCAGACTAAAATTTATGTTATAGTACAATACAATTTTGCATTTATGTTTTCATAATTGCATTTATAAAGATTACTTTTTAACGCAATTTTTTTCAAATTTTTAGTACACGCTTGTAAAAGCTAATGCTCTGCTCTTATTTGTACTAAAAAGAATTTATATAAATTTACAATAAAAATAAAGTTTTAAGTAGTTATAAGAGTAAAATAAATTAATAGAATACTTTTAGTACTAAAATATATTTATGTAATACTAAAATTACTTTTCTAAAGAATTGAAAAAACACCACCACAGCTCGCAGAACTAAATTAGTACTAAATTTTTTTTTTAACAAATTTATTTCTTTAAGTTTTGTTTATTGTAGAAATCTGCAAGTATTTGTAACAATATAAAAATTGTGTGCAACCGATTTTTAGTACTAAAATATTTTCAAATTAATTATCTACTAAAAAAAAATTTTCCACAGAATTTTGAAAAAAAAAACACTAGATGTGATATGGATGTACAAAATTTAGTAGAGAAAGCTTTTTTTCATATTTAATATATTGTAAGATAGCTGAAAGTAATTGTAACAATAATAAAAATTTCGTACAACCGACTTTTAGTACACAAATATTTTCCGTTAAAATACTAAAACGAATTTTCCTAAGAATTTGTTTGAAAACAAAAGATCACTAGATGTGCTGTGGATGTAATAACTTTGTACTAAACTTTTAGAACAAACTTTTTTCATATTTTATTAATTGTAAGAAAACAAATATAGCACTAAAAGAAATTTAATACCACTCTTTTAGAACAAACTTATTTATATACTTTTTTTAAACATCTTTCGAAAAATTATTATTTTTTTTAAATTTAGTTGAACCGACTTTTAGTATAAAAGTATTTTGGATTATATTGCCAGCATTAAATTTCCAAAGAATTAAAAAAACTCTATATATTGTGTGGATATACTAAATTTTTTAGAAGACATTTTTTTACAATGTTTCCATATAGCAAGAAAGTTGTAGATAATTATAACAATAAAAGTAATTAGTACAACCAATTTTTAGTACAAAAATATTTGGCGGTTAAATAATAAAATATATTTTTCAAAGGATTTTGAACACAAAAAAATACTATATGGGAGTGGATATATCAAATTTGTACTGATTATTTTAGAAAAAACTTTTTTCGTATTTTTTTAATTTATAGTAAGAAAGTGTGAATACAAAAATTCCACAGCAGATTTTTCGTACTAAATTTGTACTACATTTTTTAGAACAACATTTTTCATATTTTATTTATTAAAATAAAGTAGCAAATAATTGTAACAATAAAAAAAAATTGTACCACCGATACTCATAGTACTAAAATATTTTAAGTTATAGTACTAAAATATATTATCCAAAAGAAACTAAAAACTAGTTGTGGGATGGATATGCTAAATATATATTAACATCTTTGGAACAAATTTCATATTTTATTTACTGTAAGAAAGCAACTAAACTAACAATATAAAAAATTAGTACAAGTGACTTTTAGTACTAAAGTATTTTTAGTTGTAGTACTAACATATTTTTGCCAATATATTCTGATAAACTATACCCTTTGTATATGCCACAACTCTGTACAAAATCAATATTACCAACGAAAAATGTATGTACCACGTGTTTAAACATGTATGTGATATTGCCAGCAAAAACTCATAAACTTCCATTTTGGAAAACGTGCCGGCCTATTTTTCACAGTTTCGCGTACACTTAAATCTACAGAAATCAACAGCACAACACCACATACAATGTTCAAACAAACATATGTTTTCTTTTGGGTGTGTGCGCCCGCCATTCGTGTTGAAACTTGCTAATAAATAAATGAAATCAATCGACAAAAACATGGAAGAGGCAACACAGGAGATTTATGATATCTTCAAGCGCCATCTAAAGTATTTAATTCTATTAAGGAATTAATGAACTTGAAAGCGACGCTGTGGCATAGAAAAAACACGCACAAACAGGCACGCATATTTGGCGCCAACGGCGAACGCTGAAAGACGCGCTTTGGCATAGGAACTGGCAGACTGTGATTGTGTGCATGCGTAATTGCAATTACGAACAGATAATGTGCAGCGTTGAGTTGTACATAAGTATTTGATAGATATATGAGTGTATATATGTGTGTATATATTGTGAGTTATATATTGGAAAAGTCATTGCAACTCACCTTCTGTACATTGTTCAAGTACGCTTTCGTTTGCTGTACATTCTCGTCGATGGCCTTGCGTTCTTTATCCTTGGCTTCGGCCACATTAGCCAATGTGGTAATGGCCTCCTTGCAGTCTTGCAAACGTTGGCCTAATGCATCCAATTCACCTTGCATAAGGCCGGAGGCATCCAAACCAATATCGGCGGCTATTTTCGTAACAATATCGCGCAGCTCAGACAAACGATCCGTTTGCGAGTTCAAATTATCCTGGCAAATCTGTGTGGGAATAGAGATTGAAGATATATATAAACAAATGCCATAATTTGAGATTTTTAAAAAAAATTTAAATCATTGTTATATTATTTTTAAAATTTATAATATTTAAAAATATATTTCAAAAAATCAGCTAAAATACACACACACGAGTACACCCCGGCATTGCATTTAAATGTCGCCGCTTAAATTTAGCTCACAAGTCATTTTTCATTTATAATGCTTCCAAATATGCAGCGCCTATTACTAGCGCATATCGCTATTTTCTAAAACAATGCGCTCACACTGACGTTTCTACGTAATTAAATATGTGTATATATTTGCTAATACTATGTCTCGTGTGCTCTTCGGCGGCCGCTTCTGCAATTTATGCTGCCAACTTCTAAATTTGTGCCACTACTGTCGTCATGTAATTACGTGCCTTTAATGGCTACTACGCGCGTACGTTGACTTTTCCGTTCACTTCCACTAGCCATGCACACACAAATGCACATATCTATGTATGATATATGTAGTTACAATATATGTGCTTAGTGTTGTTGTTGTATGTGCATAGTATAAGAGTAAATATGTGTAGTAAATAAATGTGTCACTAAATATTTTACACTGTGCATATGCACACAAACCATATATACGGAAATGCAATAACCAGTATACTTAATGACTTTCAAATGGTCGCCTGTGCGTATGAGCGACCTGTGTTGCGGCACACAGATAATCAATAAAAAGGACAAATTATTGATTGCGTGACACTACATTTTGTATGAAAATGCATATGTTTATGTATCTATAGTTGCATATATATATATATACCTATATATAATAAATATTATATTGGTTGAAAAAAAAATTATTTATTTTTCGCTTGGTATTCTGGAAAATAGTAAATTTCGTACAAAACTATGAGTTTACCAATTCAAAAAAAATTCTTTTCATTCAGCTATAAAATTTATAAGAAAATAAATGTTGCTTTAAAATACTCAAATTTCAATCATTAATAACTCTTAAACGGTGAGGTTTACGAAAAAATCGCATGAGACTTTTTTTATAGATTTTTTTTCAATTTCAATTTTGAAACCAGATATTTTTTCAAGTAGTTGGAAGCGAGATTTGAATACTACTATCTAATGATAAGCAATAAATTAAAAACTGTAAGTCGAAGGACCTTCCCATTACAATTAAGAGCTCATGCTTGAAAGATTTTCGTAGAGGTGTACAATAACCTATTTTTCAGAGTACCAAGCGAAAAAAAAAATGTCTCGCTTTTTGACCAACCCTAATATAACTATATGTATATAATATATATATACGTGTAAACACATATGTATTTATAGTTAACTTTAGTCTTTATATTTTACTAACAACTCTTATTTCTATTATTGATTATATTATTATGTCCAGTTCACACAAATTCCGTGCACACACTGATCACTGCAATAATTTTTCCAAGCAACATACTCGAAATACATAGCAAATGTTGCATGTGGAAACACAGCTTTCACACATATATAGTTGGCTATATTGTCACAAAAGGTATTAAATATATATACGTGTTCAAGCATGTATGTGTCTAACTAAGTGAGAAGCCACTGAAATAACAAAAAATTTTATATTTGAAAAATAATATTCAAATTGTCAACAGTTGTCGTTGGTGATATATGGTGCTGCATATACAAACCTACACAAGCTAATGCTGCTAAACTGAAAACGTCTTATGACAGCATAAAAACTTAAGAGTATCACAAGTAGCGGCATGTACATGGATATGTGACTTGAATATCCCAAAATATACCTGGAAATGTAAGTATGCTGCTACGCAAATAATTGACCGGAAAATAATGCGCCCAGCCTTTAACAAACCAGCTTGACAATGGTGTGCTGTTTTCGTTTTTACTCATGTGTATGCACAATTTCTGTTTTTATGATATCATAGTGATCTCATATTTGTGCCATATGATACATAATGATCTACATAAGTAGAATTTTTGCTATCTCAAAGCATATGTAGTGTCAGTCCATATGAATTTGCGCCAGCATAGATAATGAAACAACTATGTAGATATGTATGCATGTATATAAGTAGCTCAAAAAGGCAGCTTATCTCTGTTTGCGACATTGAGTTGGGATTTGTAAAATTCCAACATTGTCATTGTCAACCGACAGTTCATAGCTAATTTGTCAGCATATTCCAAGCACACATACGTAAGATTATGTTTTATGTGTAAATTTTTAGACCGCAGCATAACTACCAACGAATTTTGGTGATAAAGAAACATATCAAGTAGCACATGGAATTAATTCGAGCAATCAAACTTACTCATTTTGTGGTTTAATAATTTTATTATACCCTGAACAGCGTATATTAATACTGAATGCTAGAAGTCAAGCGATTGTATAGAAAACTTTATCATTTGACGAGATATCTTCAAGAAATTGGGCATGGATTATTCTCGAAGTGAACGGTGCAATATCCGAAGAAATTTATTCTGATCGAACTACTGTAGCATATAGCTGCCATACAAAGTGAACGATCGGAATCTGGTATTTGTATGGAAAACTTTTTTATTTGATGAGATATCTTCACGAAATTTGGCATAAATTATTGCCCAAGACATTGCTGGATACACTGAAGAAATTGTGCAGATCGAACCACAATAGCATATAGCTGCCATACAAACTGAATGAAGTGAAGGGTATTATAGCTTTGGTGCAAACGAATTTAACATTTTTGCGTGTTTTTACTTTATAAAATCATGATTTTTTTATTGCTACAGCAAATATTAGCATCCATCGCATTTCCTTTTTGTAAAAAAATTATAATAAAATAACTAAATATGCGATAAGCTCAATGTGGTTTTCGAAAGAACTTCAACTCTTGCTTTGCTTACGCAGAATTATATAAGTTAACTAATAAATATATATATATGTATATATATTTACATATGTATTAAAATTCTTTTGCAAAGTTATTTACATACAAACACACATATTTACTTATAGTTGACTTTAATAATCGCTGATAAGCTTGAAATATGCAAACATATTTCCTTTCTTTCTGTCAACACTGAAGAATTAATCAGCGCATTTCACTTGCTTACCATACTTGTAAGCAATAAAAATTCAACAATGCAAAGTTGTGGTCAATTGGACTACAGTGGTAAATTGAAAGCAAATTTTCGCGCCAAAAAAGTACGCATTAATTTTGAAAATGATTTTTAAAGCCACATACTTGTATGTATGTATTTAAAACTTCGTTGCCTTACAAGTACGAATTTAGTCATAATTTCATTATGTAAATTTTTTAAATTAGCTGACTAGTATCAGAAAAGCTTCTCAAATATTCCAGTCCTACTTTAAGGATTAATTTAATAAGTCTACATACATATATATTAGGGTGGGTCAAAATAACGAATTTTTTTTCGCTTTGTTTTCTGAGAAATACGTTCATAGACGCCTTTACGAAAGCCTCTCCAACCGTGAGCTCTTAATTGTACCGGGCAGGTCCTCCGACTTACAATTTTATATTTTTTTCTTATTATCAGATAGAAAAATGCAAATCTCGCTTTTAACTATTTGAAAAATATCTTGTTTCATAGATTTTGTTGGAAATTGAATGCTCTACAAAAAGGTCTCTTACAATTTTTCCATAAACCCAACCGTTTAAAAGATATTAACGGTGGAAGTTTGATTATGTGTAAGCAAAATTTTTTTTAATGAATTTTATAACTCATTGAAAAAAAAAATTTTTATTATAAATGGGAATACTCACAATTTTGTAAGAAAATGGCATATTACTCACAAATAGTTTCGTATAAAAAAAAAATTAAATTTATTTTGACCCATCCAAATATAAAAGTACACATAAAAAGCGACAATAAGTTACTACTACCTATTTGTTTTTAATTAAAAAAAAAATTAGTGCGCTTCTAAAGCATAACCTTCAAAATTTTTTTAATGAGCTCACTTCTCATTTGTGCGCCATCAACTAAACCAGCATAATCAACAAACTTGAACCGTTGAACTTTATACCAGAAATAATTTGTAATACGCACTAAAAATGTTCACCCACAATCAGTTCCGAAGAGACCAAAAATAAAAATAAATGATTACAAAATAAATTTGAGCAACCGCCTAAATTCAGGTCACTTTCCTAGTAATATTAACTAATTGGTCAACTAATTTACATAAGCGTATAAGCACGCTGTAATTAAGTTCCACAAGTTCTTAGCAATCAATTATGCCCTTTGGTGCACAACAACAAAAGCCTAATTAATAAAGAGCATAAATTAATTGAGACCCAAATGGGCACACTACCTACTAGTAGTAGTGGCCAGTTATTTTTGTAGTAAACTTAAATTTCAAATTTTCGTTGAAAACAATGCGACTCATCTAGCCATCAGTAGCTTAGTTATGATACAAGTTACATCAAAAAACAAAACAAAAAAAAAAAAACAAATTAAAACAAAAAATAAACAAGATAAATATGCGTTATATATTTTTAATGTATAACCTTACTGATTACATTTTATTATCGTTATTACTTTAACTCTCATTTTGAAATAATTCTAGTGCTTTAAGTTAGCATATTTAGTTTTCAAAAGTTTTGTGGCAATAGTAACTAGAACAAGTCTCTCAATTAAATCCGAGATATCCATCTGAAATTTCGCACACACCCTTTTCTCCTAAAGTAGCTGCTATTTTGTCAGAACCGCCGATATCGGACGACTATAGCATATAGCTGTTATACAAACTGAACGATCGGAATCAAGTGTCTGTATGGAAAACTTTTTCATTTGACAAGATATTTTCAAGAAATTTAGCATGGATAATTAACTAAGGCAATAATGCAATCTGCAAAGAAATTGTTCAGATCGGATCACTATAGCATATAGCTGCCATACTAATTGAACTATCAGAATCAAGTTCTTGTAAGGAAAACTCTTTTATCTGTGAAGGTTATTATAGCTTCGAAGCAAGTTCACTTATTTCTACTTAAAAGGGCTGATCCATATAATTATAGTAGTAAATTATTGCGTAATAAATCCAGTTTTTTTATTTTATTTTTATAATAAATTGAAGTTTTCAAAATTAAGATATCATTTAAATTGAAATATAAATTCGAGCCTCGATTAAATGCGTTAAAATACTGAAATTCTACGCTTAAGTAGACTTAAGCTATTTTATTATATTGCCACAGAAATGAAAATAAAACTAAACTTGCTTAGAAATTCTGTGTTTGATACTTTGAGCGAACTAAATTTATGCTTTAAATAATTTGCATTTTTTTTTCTACAATATTAGTCACCCAATTCACTAGCAATAAATCGGCATATTCTAATGTTTAGAGAAAGTGAACGTAAAATTACTTCTTCGGCGACCAAAAAAAATTATTGAGAACGTCAGCAGTGCACAAAATTTATTTATTTATTTTGATAAAAATTGGTGCCTTTTATAATAGAAAAAAGTTTCTTTTGAAAAAAAATGTATTATTTAACAATAATAAAAAGTTTTTATTTTTTTTTTTTTGATAAACAAAAATGCTTCTTTTTTCATAAAAAATTTGTTTTTCCAAAAATAAATTAATTAAATAATAAAAAAATTTTGGTTTACGAAAAATAATTTTTTTTTTTGATAATAATAAAAATAATTCCTTTTTTGTTTTTTGATTTATAAACATTTCATATTCGACTAACATTATTTTTCTTCATATTTTGACGATATCAAACTTTTGCTTGCATTTTCTGCTTTCATATTTTTACGAATTATCACACCACTACAACAAACAAAAAATTAAATAATAAAATTAATTACCTTAGCATTTTGCAGCGTCTCCAGCGGCTGATCCAAATTCTTCACCGTATCCATTTGCTGTTCAACGTAACTGCGTACGGCCGCCGAGGCGTTGCGATATTTCTCCCAAAGCTCGACAGCGCGTTGATAACGCGTACACAATTGTAGCAAATTATCGGATGTATCATTCCAAGCTACAACCGCATCCTGCACGGCCGATTCGATCTGTTCGACAATTTGTACGTCGCATGTTTCGATAAGAGGCTTAGCCGAGGTTTTTAAGTCATCCAAGAGTGTTTCACGATTTTGCAAATCACCAGCAAGACCCTTTGGTGCGTACAATGAAACAGTTAAAAAAAAACAACAGAAACGGTTGTTAAAACACGGGTAAACACAATTGAGATATTATATATGATATATATTATTTATTATATAGATATGCTTTTTTCGTGCTAAACCCTTACTTAGTACACAGCTGGCGGGCGAAAACACTTGCTTAAATCAACATGTGTACATATATATTATTTAAGAATTTTAATTTTAGGAAATTTTTTTAACACCAGAGTTTACAAAACGTGTACACGAAATATTTGCGCCAGTTAAGCATTTAAATATATGCGCCTTGGCAATAACAAAAAACACATTTAAAATACCAACTATTGATCGACGCGTCGCAAACACCGTCGTTTGAGCACCCGTTCGCGTCAAAAGCTTAGCACGTACTAAAAATTAATCAACACAAAAAAGTCACCGAAACAACAAGAAATACAAAAACAAAAGCAAACAGCAAGAAAAAATATTGAAAAGTAAAGAAGTGAAGTATAAAAACAAATACAACGGAAAACACAAGAGCGCCTTGTGGCTGCCACTTTGCTTAGCCCATTGGCGCGCGGCGCTGTCCCCTACGGCTGCGGCACACTACAACTTCACTCTCTAAAGCGCTTCTAATGGCAGACCCAAATTCTTTGCACACACGCGCATACATATGCATGCGCCAGCACAAACACATATGTATGTGTGTATGTATATTGACTTGCAGCGCCTCATTTAGGCGCACTGCTACATTTTATATAGCACGCGTGTGAATAACGGACACACACTTCGCGCCGGCATTTTTCGAGTAATTAAAGCAAATCATTTTCACTTCATTTACCATTTCGGACATGGCTAATTATATTCACGATTGTCTTCAGTACCTTAAAAATATCGCAAGCCAATCGAATTGGTATGTAAAGCGTTGACTTCTGGCACCTATTTATACGCGCGTTATTATTTTTAACGGAAGTATTGTGAAATCGCGCCGGAATACTTGTAATTTGCTGTTGTCAACAAAGCGCACTTGCCTCTAAACCTATTTAAAGGGCTTGAAGAAGCACGAAATCGTTTAGAAAGTTTTGAAAACCAAAAAATTTTAACACTTCGTATAGCTTCTGAAATATATGTATACGAGAAAATTGTACAATCGTTCAGGCAAGGAATAATAAATTTAAATAAATTGCTTAATATTTTCCCTCACTAATCATTCCTACACCCTTCAGCAACACGCTTTCGCAAGCACCTACAAACTTAAAACACCCACATTTTGATAATTGCCACTTACCTCTAGCCGCTCAGTGGCCTTGCGCAGTCGCTCGTAGTCCACCTGGCCGTGCACCTTTAGCAATTCCATCATAAAGTCGGTCTCCTGCACGGAATCATGCACCAACTCAAGCTGACGCTCGTAGCGCAACCAAAGCGCCAAACGATTTCTCAGTATTGCCAGTATATTCGTGCATTTGCTCTCCAAAAAGGCATGATCGTCTTGCAGCTGCGAGATGTCACGCTCCAATTTCACAGGCGACACAGACATCTTCAAGCGCATCGGCAACGTATGCAACATTTGTCGTATACGCATGATTTCTTGCCAATTGCCGATGAGATCTTCACCAACTGCTTGGCAATCGATTACCGCCTTTTCAATGGCTTCGCTGCTCAGTTTCTCAGCGCTTTCGCATTCATCCAATATGACCGAGAGTTTGGTTTGATGTTTGCGCAGATTTTGTATGCCTTCTTGTATGGCGCGTAATTGTTCGCGCAACACGGATGCGCCTTCGAGTTCTTCGGCAATTTGCGTGTTAATCTTGTGCGAGAGAGCAAATAGTTCGCCCACCTTTTCCGGTTCTACGGCTGGTTCTTGCAGGCCAATGCGTCCCAATTCGTTGCCAATGAAGCCAACACGCGTACGCAGCACTTGTATGCGCTCAATGTAGAGGCAGAGCTCTTCCTCATTCTTGATTACACCCTTAATGCTGGTCATTGTAAGATAGATTTCTTGCAACTCACGTTCGACCAACTTCAGTTTCTCTTCGGGTGGCACGTCTTGCGAGGCGAGACTATTTACAATATTATTCTGTATACGCTCAATAGCGAGCGCTATGTTTTGGCAACGATCTTCGAGTTGTGCATGGAATTGGCGCTGTAGCATCTCGTCGGCGAGCGGTATGACTTGTAGCGCCTTTTCGAAACTATGACCCGCTTGATTGCGTATGTTATTGTGCATTTCAAAGTGGGCCTTCATCTCCCAGAACTGACGCATATGTTCAATTGGTTGCTCTAGTGGATCTTCGGGTATATGTATGTTGCGTAATTCCTTCTCAGCTTCGCGTACAAAACTCTCCATTTTATCAGTTTGATTTTCATACTGTGCCCAAATCTCTTTGAAGACAAGTAGACGATGCAGATATAGGGAGACTTCTTCACGCAATTTCAGCAGCACAATGAGCGCTTCGTTTGTCTCTTCGACTAGATTGGGCGCCTGTACGAGATCTTGCAATTTATTGGAAATATTTGAAAGTTGTGTCATTTTCAAATAGTGATTTGAGATGTCGCTGCTGATGGACTGATAAAGTGTTGTGTATTGGTCGTAGTCTGCAGAAGTGACAGCGGACAAATCGGGCACACGTTGCTGTGCCACATGCAACCATTGCAGTTCATCCTTCATGCCCTTCTCTAATACCGTCCAGCGTGAAGCAGCTTGCACTAATTTCGAAGAACGCTCTGAAGCCTTTTCCAAAAGCACAGTTGCGCGATTATAAAGCTCTTTATGCAACTCGGCGTGCTTCTCTCTCGTCTCGGTATCGATATTCTCTTCCAGTGACTCCAGCATGGCACGGCAATGGCTGAGGTTTACAAAGAACTTGCGATGTTTCTGCACTTCATTGTTGAGCTGTTCCAATGTGCTGGATATAATTGGACTCTCGACCATCTTATCGGCCAGCACAGTGATGTTGGTGAATTCTTTGAGTGTTTGCTCATACTCTTCGGCTAATGACTGCAACTGTAGTAAGCGGTCGCGTTCAGCCAGTATGTTGTTTTCAATGTTTTTACAAACTTCATAAGAATTGTAGATGTCTTGCGGCACCTTCTTGCCGGGGAAGTTACGTTGAAATGCGCGCGCACTTTGTGCGAGCTCCGCGATACTAGCTTGTACGTCGGCGTTTTGTGCCTCCAATTCATCGAGGCTACGCAATTTTCCATTCAGTGTTATGTCTTGCGACACAATGGTGTCATAACGTTCTTGCAGTTCTTCCAAAATGGTGGTCGTGCGATGTATCAATACGACAAAATTATTCCACTTATTCAACTCTTTAGTATCTTGTGCCTGGTTGTCTTTGGTCACTACTTCCACAGCATTGACATGCTCCTTGAGCGCATCAACACACTGCTGCACCTCTGGGCCAGTCAAGTGGTCAGCTTTCTCCAATTGGGTTTCGAGTGTGTTGACATTCGATTTAATAGTACCGAGTTCATCGTTCAATTGATTATAATCGTGCAACTTCTGTTCGGAAGGACCTTCATCGGAGTTTTGTCTGATTAAGTACACGCGATATTCAACAGTTTCAAGCCAAGTAGAGACTTTTTCGATAACGGTTATGACGGTAGTTTCGATGATTGTGCGATCACCTTGCTTCACAGCTGCTTCCAAATCGTGCAAGCCTTGATTGACTTCCTGTGCACGAACTTCCACGGGCACATCCGTTATCTTGTCAGATAGGGTAGCTAAATGCAAAACATTGCTAAGTGGCTTATGCTCAGGTGCAGACTCTTTCAATGATCTAATTCGTCCACCAATGACTTGCTTTGTTTCAGCCCATACATCCACAGTCTTTGGTTTGACTTGTGATCCAGGATAGTGTTGAAGACTTTCAGACATTATCATTGCTTGTGAAGCATCCTTAGGTGTTTTGTCAATACCAACTGCTGTTGTTGCAGCTAACCAAATGCTTTCAGTTGCAGTTTCTGGTATTTCTTTATCGGGACCTGGTGTTAGCGGTACAACAATCTCTTCCGTTGGCGAGCTCACTTCCTCAATCATGACGGATGATGTTGGTCTGGAACGTGGTTTGCCACCTTGCTGACTGGTAAGATTCACCTTATTCTGCTCGCTGACCTGTAGAGGCAAGTCTGGAAATTCCTCATATACCGTTGTCTTTGTGATTTGTAGTTGCACCAATTGTGGCTTCTTTTCCACATTTCGTGAACCGGTATCTTCTGAAACTTGCTGAGTAGTAGTTACCACCACACCTGCTTCCGGTACAATGTCCTTTGCTATTTCGATATTCACATTGACCTCTGGCAACTGCTCGACAATAGACTCATCTTCGTCCGGTTTTTCTTGAGAGGCGTGCTTCTTCTTTTTCTTATCTTTTTTCTTTTTATCCCGTTTGGGCAATTCAATAGTTTGTGTATGCTCATATACAATCGGATCAATCTCTGAGTTGTCCGTATCTGGCGGTATTGCCACCGAAGTTTGAATTTCTATATTGTACGGCTCAGATAAGGAAGTCAATGTTGATGAAATATCTTCTGTTAGTGTAACTGGTTCTAAAGAAATAGGCTGTTCTATTTGTTGAGGCTCCTCACGTGGAGTGGTCTGAGATGTTGAGTCTACAAGTTGAGTCAACTCGAGTGTGGTGGTGTGCTGATCACGTTGCTCGGCAGGTGCTTTAACTACTTGCACTGGTTCTATGAATTCTTCAATTACCGGTTCGGGTGTACTTGCAGGTTGAACATAATCCACCGGTTCTGGGGTGAGAGTTTGTACGTAAGTCTCATGAGTGACTGTGTAATCTGTTCCAATAGCTTGGTCAGATTTTTCAACCTTTTCAGCTGGTAAATCTGTAGTCAAATCTTTGACCAACTCTTGTACAAGTGGTTGAACGACTTCGCTGGTACTTGCCTCAGGTGAGCGTGGTGATTCTTTAGGTGTGGTTTGTAGTTCCTTTTCAATGGTGGTAACCACAATTGTTTGGCTTGATATTTCTGTGGTTTCTGGCTTAGCAGGAACTTCTACTTGCGGCAGAGGTTCAGAATAAGATACCTCAGTTTGTACTTCTTCTTCTTCAGTTTGTTTTGGCTCAAGAGTTATTTGCGTAACCGGCTCCTCAGAACGCGGTGTTGTCTGCATTTCAGTATCCGTTATTTCAACTGTGATCGTCTGCGCCTCAGTTTCTTGGCTTTCTGGTACAATGTCAATGCTTGTCTGCAAGGAGATTTCTTCTTGTTTGGGCTTATGTTCGGGAGATGTCTGTGAAGATTTTATCTCTTTCATTGGTTCTTCATAGCTCGGTGCAGGCGTTTCCTCACGTGGCGTTGTTTGTTGCTGTTCATCTTCCACGTAGGAAACTTCTATTACCTCGGTGGGAATTACTAGCTCAGTAAAAGGCGCACGTGGTGAATCAGAATCTGGCGATACTATGGCTTCCTCCACAACCTTAACTGAAGTATCTATTTCAATGCTGGTCGCTTCACTTTCTGGGCTAATCTCGGCAATCACCTCCTGCTTAACTTTACCTTCAGACTCCAAACTAGGTGTTTCAATATCACGTGGTGTTGCTTCTGATGACGGCACATGAGACTCTGCATCTTCGGGTATTCTTGATCTTTGCTTCTTCCTCTTATGTCGCATCTTTCTTAAATCTTCATTCTCATAATCATAAAGAGATACGTCATCAGCTTCATAGCCAGTTTCACGAGGCGATTCAATGTCGATTTCGGACACTGAAATTCTAGACACTGGCACCTCAGATTTCTCAACCTTAGGTTCTTCTTCACTTTGCTCAAATTCAGGCTCGACATCTTCCTTTCTTTTCTTTTTCTTACGACTTCGCTTGGCATCGACCGGTGTCAGATTCAATTCATCGCCGCGCGATGTAGTATCCTCACGCTCTGTTTCGGTCACCGTTGAGGTTTCAACAATTGTCATGCTCACTTTAGGTGGCAATTGTTTAGGATCAATATCTTCTTCAGGTGTCATAACAACTTTCAAAACACCGCTGCCTGTTTGCTCGATAGAGGGCGCAGTTACTGTGAATGACTTTCGTGGAGAATCACTGTCAGTGGCCAACACTTCGCCAGATATAAAGAGCTGTGTTGCAGCTCGTATGTCGATTTGGGACTTTTCGGGAGGTAATGTGTGCAGAAACTTGTCCTCCGGTGGCGTTTTAGTATCTGTTTCGTTAGATGTTAACGAAACTTGCTCACTAGCTGGTGTTTCCACAATAACTGCTTCTGTTTCTTCAACGGGTGGTGTTGTTACTGACTCTTTGACAATGGTTACTTGTGCGGGTGGTAGTTCTGGTTGTAATACTGTTGGTTCAGATGGTATGGGAGTAGGTTCCTGAGCTGACTGACCTTCCACTGACAAAACTTCAGGTGGTGGTAATACTGCAGATGGGATTTGCTCAGAGACTAAAGTTTCCGGCTCTTTGAATGGAGCCAATTGCGGCATAACTAATTCAGTGTCAACGGATGCTGATATTTCTGTGGTTTCGGTGACATCGACTATTTTCTCAGGCGATAACTGCTCAGTAGTAACTGTTGTAGTAGTTGTTGTTGTCTCTATTGCCGTCTTTTGTTCGGGTTCACTTTCTTTAGACTTTCCTTTGGGTGCTATAACTTTTTCGAATTTGTATTCTTCCAGAGAAACTGGATAACCCGTATCTTTATCCGTTGGCCAAACAGTATCCACTGGTTTGGACTCAGTGGTTGCTGTAACTTCATATGTCTCAACCAATGGTTTGAGTGCGTCATCAGAATGATGAGAGAAATCGATATCAGTTGGCACCAAATGATGTTCTTTTGGCCAAATCTCATGAATATTTTCTATGAGTTTAGTTGGTTCAATGCTTTGTACGCTTGGTGAAATTTCCTCTTCAACTACTATTGTCTGTTCATATGGTGTCGTACTTAAGTCCGCTGGAATATTAACAGGGCTAGTACTAGTAGTTTCTACGGTTTCAATTATTCTTTGTTCAACTACTTTTGGTGCGGGCAAATCAACAAATTCTACTGGTGCTTGGTCTGTTGATGTTGTTGTTCTTTCTGTAGTACTTGTTGTTTTAATACTGGTTGTTGTTGGTTGTGTTTGTGTTGTTGTAGTAGTTATAATGGAAGATTCAATTGCAAATACCTGTTGCGGCTGCGTTGAGTCTGTCACTAATGGAACAGCCTCGTCTACAGGTGCGCTTGACTGTGGCAACTGCGGTTCCAACAAATCAGTCGAAACCTCTTCAATTACCACGCCTGGTTCTTTCGTCAGCCGTTCGAACTCTTCCTCGGTCACCACTTTGCCATTGACGGTGCGTATGATGTTCACATTCACCTGTGGCGGCAACTCTTCTTCACTGACCTCGATTTCTTCTGGCTCCTCAACCACCTCTTCGGTGACATGTTCCACACCATCGATTACAACGATGCGCTTAATAATCTTACGTGTCTTTCGTATGATTTTGCGCGTTACTTGCTGCACAACCGCGCGTATGCTGCTTTGCGAAGTGGCTGTGGTTGTCGGACCCTCATTTACAACGGTAATCATTTCGGTTTGGCCTTCAGGTGTTTGCAGTTGCTCAAACCGTTCGATTGTTGGCTCAGTCTCGAACTCCTTAACGACCACCGCATTCGGATCTGAACCGTCGACAACAGTGCCGCGTGTCTGCTGCGTTACAACCGTCTGATAGCCGCGTTGATCATCACCACTGGTGTCGGCAGTTTGCACATTTTCCAAGTTCAATTGACCGGTGGATTGTATCTGAATATTACCATCGGCATCCGTGACCGTGGCAATTGAACTGATTTGCTGATGCTGCACCACTTGTTGGCGTGTGCGCGTTACTTTCTTCACAATAATGTGCTTCGTACCGTCTGCATCCACCACAACTTCGGTTGTAGTTTGATCAGGTTCGACAAAGGTGGTTTCGAATGCTTGCGGCACATTCTTCAATACCAGCTCGGTGGCACGATCCACATCTCCTTGCGGTTGTTGATGATAACGCGCTTCGATTTCAACATCCTCTGCCACATCAGGTATCTTCTTATTCGGTATGGTATCAATCTGTATAGTTTCATGACCGGCTTGTATGGTTGAGGTGACTAAAATATTCTCGGTTGGCTTACGCTCCTTCTGCGTCTGCATGGCAGTCTCAGTAGTCTCAACGAAAGGCGCTAATGGCACAGCAGGTTCTGCGAAACTAGTTTGCGCCTCAACTGTGTATGTCTCCACAACAGGTTGCTGTTGTGGCGCGGCAAGACTATCGGACGTTTGGGTTTCTACTGCGAGCGCTTGTATTTGAACTGGTTTAACTTCTTCCTCTGGCATCGGTGTCGAATCAATGGTGCTAGCATTTGATTCAATAGACGCTGGCGCGCTGATTGGTGGCTGTATTAAAGCTTCGGCTGCTACGCGCTTACGGTGCTCTTCTTCCTGTCGAGCTTTACGTAACTCCACAATAGTCTTCTCGATGGTGTAAATACGTGTGGTGGCTACAGTGATCTGCTCACGCAACAGCGTTATAATAAGCTCAAGCTGATCCATCAGATCACAGGCCATTGGCGCAACATCTTCATGTTGCTGCAGTAGACGCGTCTTTTCGACCAACTCCTCCAGCGATTGCTGTTTATCCTTGAGTGTGCGTAGCAATTGCTGACTACGTTCGGCTTGCGATTTAAGCTGTTCCTCATTCTCGGCGACTTCGGGTGTCGGTTCGAGGTCTTTAAGTTGTTGCGATACCTCCATAATCCATTCCTGCAATGCAATCAAATGCATTTGGTATTCGTTGAGTTCCTCCTCGCGCTTCTTCTGACCGTGCATGGCGTTCTGTATAGCGGAGTTAAAAAATTTTATTTGTGTTTGCGTTTCTATAAAATAAAATAATAAATTTACCGCTATCATGGATATGCCTTGCTGTGTGCGACGCAATAACAGATCAATACGATCTTTGATCTCGTTGAGTATACGCTCAGTTCCAGGATCCGTTGGTAGTGTTTGTCCGATTTCTTGTAGACGTGTTGCTTCCTTTTCTTGGTACTCCAGATTCTCTTGGATTAGCTGCACGAAATAGTTATTGTTATTATAGAGAAGTTGTGTATTTAGAAGTGCGTGTATATTATAATCCACCATTATATAAGTATAGCTAGCTTGAAAAGTAGAATTAACATTAAAATAGTTTAATTTAAATTTTCAGGCCAATTTATTTAGCAGATTCATTGAAAAATATATTTAATATTATAATTTATATATAAATATAATATATTTATTTGTGGTTTGTAAAATCTTTTACAGCTGTGTACTCGTGTATTATAAGCCAGCTAAGTTTTCTACTACAAATACCTACAACACTAAAAACATACTACAAAGCTAAGCTCGTAAAAAAATTAAAAAAAAAAATATATATATATTTTTATTTATTAGAAATTCAATATATCTGAGTGTATAATTATTATTTCTAGCTATGTACAGTGGTCAACAAAAGTCTACGTACAGTAGATTTCTCTATTGTCTCGCGAGTCCCAGAGTATTCGGTGAATATGTAATAGCAAAGTCAAGTTATACCCTGAACAAGGTATATTAAGTTTTACACGAAGTTTGTAACACACAGAAGGATACGTCGGAGACCATATAAAGTATATATGTATATAGAAGAACAGCATCACGCGCTGTGTCGGTTTGGCCATGTCCATCTTTCTGCCCGTCTGTATGTATATACGCAACTAGTAACTCAGTTTTTGAGATATCGATATGAAGTTTTTCACACATCCTTATTTCCTCAAAAAGCTGCCCATTTAAGGGAAACGCCGTTATCAGACCACTATAGACAGCTATAGTCTTACAAACTGAACGAACAGAATCAAGTGCTGGTATGGGTAACTTTTTATTTTGAGGAGATATAATCATGAAATTTTGCATGGTTTATTTTTTAAGGCAATGGTGCAAATAGCGAAGAAATTGTTCAGATCGCATCACTATAACATATAGCTGCCATACAAACTGACCGTTCACAGTTCTCATAAGGAATATTTTGTATTTGTGAAGGGTATTATAGCTTCGGTGCAACCGAAGTTAACGTTTATGCTTGTTTTAATTACAGTTTTACTAGTAAATTACAATAGAAAGAAACCTACTCAAATACTTACTAAAAAAATATTAAAAAAAAGAAGAAATTTGGAGATTGCAAAAGAAATATTGCTAGCACAACTCTGATATTCTAAATAACAAATATTTTTTTTATATGTTTTCTTCGCAATACAAAAGTTTCTTACTCTTCGTTGGTAAAAAGTTAGCATGGTCCTTATATATTTGTTTTCATGCTACACTATTTCTCTGCATATTTTTTAGTACCAATACTTTTAAATTGTATTAAAACACAATTTATATGTTACGGCCGAAAATTCAGTTTACCACGAAATGTGAATAATTTCTTTATTTTAATAAAAAAAATATAAATAAATTAAAAAAATTATAATAAATAATTAATAAAATGTGCGATATATGAATGATGCGGTTGTGTTACTGATTTTTTGCGACACACGCCAGCATTCATTTAATCGGGTTTGATTCATTCTTAGAATGCGTAAGTATTTGTTAGGTACATAATTTGTGGTTGTAAAGAAAACTGCTTTTCATAATATTAAATTAATTTAATAATTAGTATATTGCGCTAGAACATAATATTTATATGTTGGTGGTGGGATGTGTATGCATTAAGTGTCATTTACCATAACTTATAAATTATATATATATATAGTATATACATACAGACATAATAGCAAATGCAAAGCAATATTTGTAAATCGTTGCAGCTCGTACACGGCGTATACGCAACTTTTACTTACAGTTATATATACACACATTTATGTGTATACACACACATATATATACACATACCTTTATAATATTATATTTATATATGTATACAATATATATGTATGTATATACACATATTTACACATGCATGTATGTCGCTTTTCTTTGCATTTGTCCACACACATACCTTCAATCCTTGCAGCATGCCATCCAAACTAGCGCTCGGCAAATTACCAATGCCATCTTCGACCGTCGATAGGGATTGCAGTAAATCTTCGATATCGTGCGTTAAGTCCTATAACATTCGTATTAATTGTGTGAGTTAAATTTTTTAAGTGAATTAATAAAAATTGAGATTTAAGTTGGATTTGCAGTAAACATAAACAAACGTAAACCAGAAATGAAAACAATGCAGAAGAGAACAAGAAAACGATAAACAGTAAAATGAGCCAAGAAGGGGTAGCATTTTTTTATTTTATTATTATTTGTTTTTTTTTTTTTTGCTTCTTATGCAGTGAACCCAAAATTGTGCGTAAAATAGTTATGAAACAGAATAAGAAACAGTTGAGAGCTGAAATTTTCACAGCAAATAAATGTGAAAGGCTTTTGCTTCAATACAAAAGTAGGCGAAAATATATGTACAAGGTGAGATAGGTACAAAGACATAAAGCATTTGGTTTTTTTTTTTTTTGTTGTTGCCTGACATACAGAGTTAAGTTATGCTATGAATGCAGTGGATGCAATGCCCTAACTAAATAAATAAGTTAATGGCATTTAAATATATCTATATACAAGGGATGTAGGCTTCATGGGGAACATATACAAATGACAGATTTTGTAACAGTTTAGAATTTTTTGATGCAAGAAAATATAATTTTTTTTCCTTGATTCATGAGAAATACATTTTAACATGCATGATTTACAACCGATTTCACCAAAGCAATTTAAGTGAAAAAATTTCATGAAATTGCTGCTGATTTCGGCTGTTATAATAGATGAAATGAGACACTTATATGTATTTACAGCGATGAAAGCATGCAACAGAAATAGCTTAAGTATGCAGATTATACCAATAAGCAGTTAAGTCACTTATAATTATGTGTTAAGTAAAAAATTTAATTATAATAAATTTTATAGTTAGCTTGTTAAGCAGAACAGAAAATACAATAAAATAAAAATAAAAAATATTTTAAAAATTATATAAAAAGATACGAAAAAACTATTAAAATATTAAAAAAAAATTAAATAATAATAAAAAAATGTCTTTTCGTACTATTTTTCAAAAAAACTTTTTTTTTTGCTTTTTCGTACTTTTTTCAGATTCTTAAGTGCTCTATATGGATTATGTTCACAAGATGTTAATGACTACTTAAGATATGTATATAACTTTTATTTATAAAAAATATTTCCAAGTTTCATTGCTGAACTAAGAAATATTTGCTACAATATTGCAAAAAAAATTTTTTAGAAAATCTTTTTTTAGAAAAAAAATTTTTTGAAAACAAGAAATTTGAGTAAAAAAGAATTGTTTGAAAATACATTTTTGGAAAAAAAAATTTGAGTATAAAAAATTTGGAATAAATATTTTTTGAAAAACTCACAGCTACTGTTCGAACTTTTGTATTAAGAGAATAAAATAATAAAAAATACTTTTTGGAAAACCTACAAAAAAAAAATAGTTTTTTTGGAAACCCCACAAAAACAATTTTGGAAAAAAATTAGATCCAAACAAACTCGGCTTTTAAAAAAAATATGTAATTGTGTTGGAAAATAGCTTTTTAAGTGCATATAAATAATATAAAAATATAAAAAAATTTAAGAAAAAAATTTCCAGTGATATGTGTATCTCAAATTTTGCATAAGTTTATATTTTTTGTAAAAACTAAAATTTTTTAATTATTTCGTTCAGAGAATTGATTTATTGCAACTATTTCTGTATTAAATAAAAAAAATTAAATTAAACAAGAATTTCAATCAATAATTCTTAAAGTAATATTCACTACAAAACTTTTTGCTCAAAAAACAATTTATAATTCGGAGTGCATTTTTCAGGTTCTAAAAATAACCAAATGATGCTTGAAAAAAAAACTTTATATGGCAAGCTGAAGTACAAACCAAGTACAATTAATTAGAGTATATGTACCATACACATATATTCAAATTTTTGGAAATTTTTCAGCTCTGATACGTTGTATACAAATATGTGTGTATGTTTATAATATAATGTACATATATATATAATAAACAAATTTTAAAATTGTTCCTTATGTGTTTTATTAATAAATATTGTTCCGAACATGCTCAAATTTACTAATATTTTCGAAAAAAATCGATTACTATATTAATTTTTCAAATTTTTTTTAATAATATATTTTTTAACAATTTATTTTTCATTGTTTATTTAATTTGTTTTCAATCTAATTTGTATCTACACACACAAAAAATATTTATCATGACATTATTTAAATATTTCTTAACAACTGCTTGCTCATAAATCACCTTTTTCAATAGAAAAAGTCTGCTTGAAGGTCTAAAGTTCAATCCACAATTTTAATCCAAAAAACCACAAAAATATTAAAAATGGCAACTCGCCTGGCATTGCACCAAAGTTGCACTGAGCCTCACACAAAAATAAAGCGCCACAAGCATATGCACTCAAATACTCCAGATGCTATTTCCGTAAATAACACTTGCCTCCAAAAGCCAAAGAAGACGGTTTTTTGCACGTTTTCACGATTGATTTTCAATTACTTCTGCATCAAATTTGCAGTGACACGCACATTTTTCAACTAATGCAAGTCCAAGCACTTTTTACTATTTTCAGTATTTATTTTTTTTTTTACTTTTTTCTAAATGTTTTACTAAATTCCTTTCCACTTCAATTCACACCACTGCTGAGCACTTATGTACATAGGTGCAATATGAGTCGTTTGCTTGCCGCTTGTCGGCACACGCGTTCAATGCTGGCCGAGTGTTACTGCGAAACTGGCGAGCGCATTCCAAGCGCAAATCTATTTTCGATGCGCGCAATGCAAAAGCCGCCGCTATGAGCGAATTAAACGCAGTCATGCCGGCCGGCTAGGCCGTGCACTCGCTGAGGGGGATATGTTGCGGCAGCGGCGAACTGCAGCTGTGTACAAGAACTTGCAAGACAAAAAAAGAAATAATAAAAAATAAAAATAACGAGATATCAGCGCATACATGTATGTATGTATATAAGTGTGTAATATAGAAATTTTACACGCGCCGCATTCCATTTAATACAAGTAGTAGTAGTAGTAGTCCATTTTGAACTAGCAGTTCGCAGCATGACTAAGTGGTGGGTGGGTATTTCAAGACATGTTGTTGTTGTTATGAAATGGCTGTATTTCCAGATATGAGCACATACTTATGCCTACCACATATTAGTTGAAGTGGTTGTTTACTGGGTTGTAAGTGCGGTCTAGCATTATATGAAATCATATTTACATGTACTAGTTCTCCGTTTTTCCGGGGATTATACGATTTACTGCCGACTTAATGCTTATAATAGACACATACGAGTAGTACACACACACAAATACTTGCGTATCTTACGTGAGTTTAAGAAAATGTCAGTGCATTTTTTTTTTGTTTTTGCTGTTTTTTTATTTTTTTTGTTTGATGACGCCTTTGTCTGTGGTTGTGCCTGTGTTTGTGGAGTGCATTGTGGACTGCTGAGGCATTGTGCCTAATTAAGTGGATGATTTGATTTAAGTAATTTAACGGAAGTGGCAAAGAGTAAAATTGCATTTATGAGCAATAAAATATTGCATTGTTATTGCACTCTCCGCGCGCTTTATTATTTTGAGGGTCAGTCTGATTTGCAAACTAAGATGCACTAATTAATTACTATAATAAAGTGTGGAACGATTTTCGAAATTTTATAACCTAATTTTCTGCTAAAATTAAAACAAACACAAAAACAATAAATGAAACTTATTCTAATACGATTTGGAAAGAATTTTATATAAAAAAAAATTATTATAAAGTTAAAGCTCTTTTTTTTTAAATTAATTAAATTAAGCTGCTTCTAATTCGATTCGAAAAAATTATTATCATAAAAAAAATTATAAAAAAAATCAAAGCTTGTTTTTGAAAGTTAACTAAATTAAGCTGATTCTAACACGATTTGAAAGAAAATTTTGTATTAAAAAAATTTGGTTATAAAAAAATCAAATAGAATTTTATATTACCCAAAAAATTATTATAAAAAAATTAAACCTGTTTTTTTTTAATTTAATTAAATTAAGGTGATTTCAATTCGATAACTCAAAAATAATTTTATAATAAAAAAAATGTATTTAAAAAAAATTAAATTAAAGCTTTTTTTCAAATCTAATTAAACAGCATTATTTTAGCCACTTGTTGTTGGCATATATTTTATTTAAAAACTGTAGAGATTTTTAATCAATTCTGGTAGTAAATATAAAAGAACTAAATAAAGGAATTTCAAGTCAACTTTTAGTGTAAAAAGATGGTTTTCAATAAAAGTGCTCAATTATTATTATTTGTTTTGAGCTATTAAGTAGAGGAAGTCATATAATTTTAACAACATTTGTATCAAAATTTTTATCATACGATTTCTTTTTTTAAAGCTGATATTTTTTCTACTGGCAACCTAAACATAAGCTAATGGATATTACAAAATTTCTTTTTAAGCCAGAAAATACCCAAATTAATATATTCCTACTATCACACAAAAAAAAAATTGCATACTAGAGCTAATATTTCGTGACTTTTAAAAATGTTTAAGATTCCACGCGATATAATGAAAATTTATTAAAATTCAATTTAGCAATATTTTCATGTGTTTTCTAGAAAAAAAAGTAAATACCCATGCAAGAAAATAATTTTTATACAAAAAAAAAAAATATTTTTATAAAACTGCAGTTGCCTATGCTAAGTGCTTGTACTATGCTTTATGTGTGGTATGTTCAGCAGTTGTTATGAAATTTAGTACATACTATATATATTTGGTAGAAATGAATGAAATTAGAACAAAATTAATTTAAAAAAATAAAAAAATTAATTTTAAATATAAAAAAATTAATTAAAAATATATAAAAAAATCCAATAAAAAAATAAATTAAAAAATAAAAAAAAAATTAAAAAGAAAAATATATAAAAAATAAAAACAAAATAAAAACAAAATAAAAGAAAGCATGCCATAGATTTATGTTAGTTATAGTTTTATTATATTTGTTTAAATTTTTGTCGTACATCATTAAGGCGCAATAAAAATTAGAAAATATAAGACTAAATACAAGTACATTT